ATATATATATATATTTTTAACCATATAATTGCTGAGCATAAAAAAGTTAATAATAAACAAAAAAGGTATCGGAGATTGCATTAAACTTATTTTCCTTTATTAAATATATAAAATTTTTCACATTAATTTTTAATTTATTGTATTTTTTTTTAAATAATAAATAAAATTAAAACAATACATCAAATGAAACAATTTATTTTTCTTCATTATTCTAATGATGATTTACAACATTTATGATAATCTCGTATAAACAAATGCATTCTTACATTTCTAAAATTTACGATCTTTAATTATTTTAATATTAAAAAATAATATGCTCCGATCCCTGATCGTTGATCCCGTGATGCTATTAATTAATACGCTCGAATTTGTCCCCGTCAGTCCCGTGTTCTGTGGTGGGTACTGAAACAAAAAAAATACTGGCTAGTTATTAGGTTAAAATAAGAAAAGTAAATAGTGATCTGCAAATTCGCATACATCATTAAAAAATTGGACAAAATTCATTTTGATTCAAAAATCAAATTATTTATAAAGTTTATGAAGTAAATCAAAATGAAAGTCATTTTCCCTTTTTTAAATTTTATGAATTTTTGATAAAAAGAAATATAAATTTTTTTTCCGAATAGATCAAAAATGGAAAGTCATTTCCTTTTTTATTTTTATAAATTTTTTTTTCTTGATTTTTTTTTTTTCAATGAAAAAAAAATGAAAAAAAAATATCAGATATTATTTTACAAAAAGAGAGGATATTCAAAAAAAAATCTAAAAAACGTTAGTTTTGTTATTTATTATACCAACATATAATATTATCCGAGTCTTTTTTCATCCAAATTTGGATTTATGGTTGGACAAAATGCAAAATCTAATCCATAAAAATGCCATTTCAAAGAAATGATCTAATGCATTCCAGGATATGATCATCATTTCAGTCACAAAAAAATCCATCGAATTATTTGATATAGCATAAGCTTAAGCTTAATGTGGTCATCAAAACTAAACCGGACTTGATATAGTTGATTTTTACGTTAAAGAATGGACGTGTTATTTGTTAAATTTCCTTTTGAAAAATTTTGTGTCGCAGCTGACTGTGATGTATTACGCTTAATTACGTAAATGGAATCTTATTACACGTTTTACTTTTTATAAAACTTTTTGCAGTCTTATATTTATTATGTAACTTTCGAATTCTGAAATTCATTTTTTAAAATTTAATCTCTCAATTATAAATTTCTCCAAATAAAATTTAAATTATGAATCTAGGAGATTTGTTTCGCGGATACCGTCGTCGTAGCGAACCTCCAATCCTCTTTATATTAAAACTTTTTATAATGATTATATTTATAGCTTGTTTGACAGCCTACCTCTCTTTTGTAATAAAAGATGTAATTTTCGATGCTCCAATTATCAAAACTTCTTTTATTAATTCTATTTTTCGTCCTCCAAGTAATTAATTTTGACTTTTTTTTTTGTAATTATTACGTGAAATCAATACAATAATTTGAATGCTAAACAAAATTTTTAGATTTCATTGTTAAATCTCCATATAATTTCACAATAACTTGTACTGAATTTTATTTTAGTAAGTCTATCAAGTTTTTTTTTTTAATTAAATTTAAATTTATACTATATTTTTAAATGCTTTTTTTTACTTTTAGGAAATGGAAGTTCAGATCCTAGTTCAGATCCTAAAATGGTAGATTGTATGTCAGATATGACTCTCCCTGATGTAAAATATGGGTCAATACAAGTTTATCTTGGAGCTTATCAACCATCACAAGATATTATGTTTTATAATTTTAGTGAATCAAATAATTTATATGGGTTAACGTCTATAATGATAGACCTTATCACTAATGATAGTAATTATACATCCGATGAATTGTTCCAACCCTCATTTGAAATAAATGCTTTTGATTCAGGTAAAATTATTAAAGAACTTGTAATTACATTCAGTTGATATGTAATTTAATTTAAAATATTTATAAAAATTTTAGATTACGATCCGTTTACTAAGTATATCAAGGAAAAGAAATATTATGAATTAGAGACTACTACTTCAGGTTCAAGTTTTGATGATACAATTTCCACAATGAACGCATATTATTTAGTGACAAATCAGGTATATTTTATATCGCAAATTAGATAATTTAAAATCAAAGGTCTTAACGAACTCATTTTTTTAGTTATACCAATTTATATATTCTCGTAAAATTAAAGAGTTTATAATACCAAGTTGGATAAATGATTTTGGTATTATTCCCCCTAGTTATGAAACAAAGCCATATATTGAAACTACTTTATGTAAGTCTTTTATTTATTAAAATTTGATTTTTTTTTAAAATTTAATTTTTCATTTAATATATACTTTTTTAGTGTCAAGTCCATTACCAATAAATAATATAATCAATCCAAATAGAGTATCTATTTCGATACGTCCCATAAGTCGTACCACTCAAGTAGATAAAGAAGTTAGGTATCTATCGTAACTATTATGATTTGAGATGCGATGTATAAATAACTGCTAACTACAATCACAACACGTATAATATTAATAATTTTTTCTTTATGAAAAAGATCACGTACAGTGAGTAGTATTTTATCTTGTTAATATTTTAACATCTCATTTAAAAAATTAATTAATCAAAAAAAATTCAATAATATACAGTACCTAAATGGTATAGGTTTAGTAGGTGGTGCGTGGGGATTAGCAACAGCGGCATATGCATTGCTTTTTGGTAAGCCTAATTTTTTATGTTATAAAAAAAAAAATACACTTATATTTTATATATTAAGTCATGAAATCAATGTGTACCTTTATTTCTTTATAGGTGCGGACCAATTACGACCATGGGGAATCGTACAATCATATTGCTGCGGACTTTCTCGATTAACAAGAAAAAGGTTTCAGAAAACCTTTCCAATAATTCCATTTTTTGATACATCATATACAAATACTAAAAATCGTGATTCTTCAAATCACGATCTTTCATTAGCTGAGGAAAATGAATTGAGAATTAATAATTTGGAATTATTTTTACGAGAATATGTTGTTGATGTACATTATTTAGACGGTATCCGGAATAAATTAGTTAAATCTGGAGAGACTTCGAATTCTGCAACTGACACTATGAATAATCTTAATAACCAAGCGATACAAATATGATAATCCAAATACGAATTCAATGTATTCTACTACTGTACAGCAACAGAAAAGTTTAATAACTACAGGTCCGCAAATTTCACTCAAAATTCAACGACATCCAATCACAGTCAAGTAGTACAGTTAATGTTTCTGATATCCCTGTAAAAATTTAATCCGAATATTTCGTATTTTCCGTAAAAGTTCCATAAAATGCTAATAATTCATCTTCATATTTGGTTTTTCCTTCGAAAAATTTAATCGATGATTCGTTCCGCAATCTAGAATTTTTATTATTAACATAGATTAATTGAATTTATTATATTTAATAATTGTTTTATATATTATAATTTATATTTGTTTAATTAATTGCGTAAATCAATAATATTATGAATTAACTTTATTATTAAAATAATAATAATATTCGTATATATAAATAGTAGAGTATATCATAAATATATATATATATTGTTAGTTCTAAATAAAATATTAATATGAAATATGACAAAATATATGTTTCTTTATGGAGATTCAATTGTGGGAGGATCTCGAGTATAATGTTGTTGTGATTGTTGGGACGCAAATTGTGAAGTATATTGTTGTTGATATTCATAATGATTTTTTTCATTATTCGGATTATTGAGTACATCTCCTGATTGTACTTGATTTTTCTTTTTACGTTTATAAGCTACTGAAATTGCTGCGAATATTGCCAAAGCCACTGATACTGAAACAATTGATACACCAACAATTACCACTTTACTTAATGAGGAAGGTTGTTGTGGATTTATTTTGTTACTAGTAGAAGTCGGAAGTTGCGGTTTTGGATCATTACTCGAATTTACTTTAATAAATGAAGATATAACATTCGATGTAATTTGCGATGGGTTACCAAAAAGGAAGGAATAAATTACTTTATTAGTTTGGTCAATACTATTTGGAATGTCCGTAAAATTTCCTAAAAATGAATTAAAATGCTAAATATTAGAAAGATGTGAAAGAAAAAAAAGGTAATTATTAAGGAGTAAACTTACCAAAAGCAATAAGCATAACTGTACCAACCGCTGTACCAGTATGAAAAGCAAGATTCGGAATAAGGTTTTCTTTCCTAATATCAAAGTTTGGTATTGACCACACTAATGTATTAACATCCAACATTGCGATTGTTTTTTTAGCTGGTATATTATATGGTGTATCAGCAGAAGAGAAAAATCCTCCATATATAACGATTTTTCCATTAACTATTATAAAAAGAAAATTTTTTAGGATATTCATATCGGATTACAAAATGAAATTAACTTTTTTTTTAAAAATAATTACTTAAAACGGCAGAATGAGCAGTTCTAGAACCTGGCATGGAATCAGCATCTACAGCCGTAGCTTTCTAGAAATTTTTTAAAATTATTTATTAATTAAATTATGTTCTATCAGTTTAGCTGGTTTATGTTTTTACTAACCTTTAAAGACCATGTATTTGCTACAATATCATATTGATAAATCTATAAAATGGGGAAAAAATAAAAATAAATTGATTAAATACACTTTTTAATATCGGGTAGGAAATTAAGCCTACAACGCCGCAGCATACCTCGGTTAATGGAGAATAAACGTTAACTTGTGTTCTACCGCCAATGTAATAAATTACCCCATTAACTAATGTTGCTGTATAGAATGATCTGCCAACTGGAGAATTAACTAAGCTACCAACTTGCCAATTTAAATTAATAGTATCAAAAATATCAAAATTATTAAAGAATGTAACGTCATTACCACTACCAATTTGACCACCAAATAAATAAATTTTCCCTTCAGAACTAACAGAAGAAATTCCTTTACGCATTGATGGGGCTTTTCCTTTAACTACAGGTATACTTAATTGATTTATTTTAGTATCAAACCTATATACATAATTTGTCTCTGCAGCATTCCAATGCGCACCCTCTAAGATAAATATTGAATCTTGATTAGCACCACCTAATTCAGAAACATGAAATACTGTTAATGGTAATTTTGCTTGACTCGTTAAATCTGTAAATTCAAAAAAATCATCATTGCCGATACTAAGATAAAAAAAGTCACTTATAGGATTAGGTTCAGTTGGTTCTGATTTATTAGAATTATATCCTCCTATATAATATACTTTTTTTTCAGATTCAGAGAAAACTGCAGAATGTCCCGTTCGAGTATCTGGCACAAATTGTCCATATACATTTAATATACATAAAGTTATAATAAATATCAAATAATGGTTTAAACTCATTTTGATAGTACGTATAAACCGGTATAGTTGATGAATTTATTCTTTTTTTTTTATAGTGGGAATTATTGGATTTAAAAAAATAAAAATAAAAATAAAAAAAGAAAGATAAAAAAAATCCCAAGGAAAGAAGCGCCCTAGAATTTATAAATTGTATATATTAAAATTCTTTTATATCATAAACTTTTGCGTTGCATTAATAATGTTGTGTTCATTCATGAACTTTTTCAAATGTTACAAATGTTTCAAATGTCGTTATTATTATAATTGTATTGTAATATTTCTTATTTTAGAATGTATCGTAAATTATTGTTTGTTTTTTTCCTGTACCATCATTAAGGTTTCACGAAAGCATATTAACGGAATTTAAATATAATTCATAATAAATTAAAAAATTTGGAAATTTGGAAATTTTTACGTACGTATAATAAATTTTACAAAAATCATGAACTTGACAGAATTACTCAATAGGCAACGTCGTAGCGAGCCTACAATCCTCTTGGGATTAAAAATCTTTACAATGATTATGCTTATAACTTGCTTGACAGGCTACCTCACTGTTGTGATAATTGACGTTAAACAAGATGCTCCAATTATCAAAACTTCTTTTATTGACGTTGATGGCGTACCTCCTCCAAGTAAAGAAAAAATTTTTTTTAATTTCTTAAGCTAAAATTTATGTTTCTAATAAAAATGAAATATTTTTTAAAAAAATAATTATAGGTTTGCATTTTGGTGCTAGTTATAATTTCAGCATCACTACATGTAATCAATATTATTGTAAGTATTTTTAAAGAAAATTTCCTTTTTTTCCTTTCAATTAAAAATGAATTAATTTAATTAATTTCTTATTTTCTTTTTCTATTAGACGTCAATGGGGTTTTTAGCTATCTTAATTGTTCACCAGATGACATAAATGCTTATTACGATCAGGAAACCAAACTATATTATGTAACTTATTATCCATCACCAGATGTCATATTTAATAGTTCATTAAATGGAGTAGGTTTAATAATGTCTGTTAACGAAGAAATTCAAGTTGGTAAAACATCGTTTATAAACTTGATTGCTTTTGATTCAGGTATAGTTAAAAAAGATTTGTAATTATATTCGAATTTCATACAATAATATTAAATAGTATTAAATATATTATTATAGAATATGATATATTTAATAAGAAATTAAACGAATTTACTGTCTATGACAGTTCAATTCGTACATTAAATAGGTATTCAATAGAGCCAGCTCAGGTATTTAGAATTTTCTTTAATATTAAGCGTGTGTGGAATATTTTATAGAAAATTACTAATAACCCTTTTTTTTTAGTCTTACGATTTTGCATATTCTCGTATTGTTAGAGATATAATGGTACCAAGTTGGATGAATGATTTTGGTGTTCCTCCAAATTATGACCAGAAATCAAATATTGAATCTACTTTACGTAAGTTGTTATATTTATTAATTTTAATTTTATTTTATAATATATTTATATTTATTTTAATTTTTCTTTAGTTGGAGGACCATTGCCGGATAAATCGATGACTGAAATATTATCATTCAGTATAGAACCTAAGAGCTATAGTGTCATTCAAGTAGATAAGGAAGTTAGGTTTGTATAAAAATACATAAATGTAGTTACATTGCTTAATATAAATCTTTATTTTACTGACTAAAAAAAACAAATTATATTTTAAATAATAAAAAGATCAAAGACGGTGAGTACTTTATATTTTTTAAGATTTTTTGTTTTATTACTTTTTTAAAAAAAAATTAATTAAATTCAATTATATATACTAGTACTTAAGCGGTTTAGGTTTAATGGGAGGTGCGTGGGGATTAACAGTAGCAGTATACACATTTCTTTTTGGTAAGATTTATTCTTTTTTTTTTTAAAAAAAAAAAAATATTATATTATGATTTTAATTATATCTATTTTTTGTTTAATTTACAGGTGCTGATACGTTGCGACCATGGGGAGCCGTACAATTATACTGTTGCGGATTTTCTCGATTAACACGAAAAAAGCTTAAAACTACTTTACCAACTATTCCATTTTTTGACACAATGGATCTTAATACTAAAAATCATCCTTCAAGACATGCACTTTCTTTAGCTGAACAAAATGAATTAATTTTAGCAAGAATTGATAGTTTAGAATTATTTTTACAAGAATATGTTGTTGATGTACGTTATTTAGACGGTCTTCGGGATGGATTACCCACAACTAACATTATGAATAATCTTAATAACCATGGGGTACAAAATTTGAAAGAATTTGATAGTACAAGTACAACGAATTCTACGGTTTCTACAGTTACGCAACAACAAGATTTTGTTTCAGCAAATTTCACTCAAAATTCAACATATAATAATTTCACTACAATCAAGTATGACTAAATATGTTATTAACATAATATAATAGAATTTTTTCATTTTATTTTATTTAATATTTGTTATTTAATTGCATGTCATAATTTTTCATATAAATATTAAATGTGTGTGTATCACCAATTTTCATAGTAATAAATATATAAATCAGCAGTTTATAATATTTTGTACAATGATTCCTTGATTCTTTAATTACCATAATTCGAATATAATACAGTATATTATCATCTCTTAAAAGGAAACTTCAAAAAAGAAAATCATGTAAAAAAAATAAATACATTATTCCGCATTTTATGGATCAACTTTGTTTGTTTGTGATATAAACTCATTGTTATTTACATGACCTAAATTGTAATTTGATGTTTACGTTAAAAGAACGAAATTCTAGAAATGATCATCTGCATACTAAATATAAATATTTCCATTTTATTTTTAAATCAAAATATTAAATAGTTATCGGATGATGGGGGAATAAAGATATCGGTCTTTGTCTGATGTCCAATAACTGTTATAGTTCGGTTATTAGAAATATTGCAATGAACAATGCTAATACTGATCTCAACATTGGATATCTCATAAAAATATCGGTCATTAAAATCCCGCATATTCCTAAATAGACTGAACAATAATTAATTAATGTTCTAAATCTTTTTTTTATGTCACTTTTTATTTTATTTTTATTTCTCGTCATTTAATTCGATAATTTTAAATGTAAAGTGTAATTTAATATGAATGGTAAATTAATTTTAGATTTTTTAATTTGAATATCCAAACAATGTTGTTTATAATTTAATTAATCTGATGGATTATGGATTATTAGCCTGAAGTGAAGATTCTAAGGTGATACAAATGTCCGGCATGTGACCATATATAACAATAAAACCTTAAACAATTTCCTGGAGAAAAAATATTCATATTGCTACATTAGCAAAATTAAATGCATCAATTATCTCTCGTTATCCTAATCCATGAATTTAGTACCAAACAAGTTACAATTATAATTTTTATACTGTATATAGAAATAAGTCAGCCACATGTTTTGTTTATTTATTGAATTAGAACCTAGAATGTAATTAAAAACAAACAAATGGATAATTAATTTTAACATGTTGATCGCAATTCGTAATTTCCTTAATTAACCCAATTTGGTAATTTGGCGTACGGTCTAAATGGACCACTCAAATTTTGCAAATATTTCTGTTGATTCGTCTCTACTTACGATATTTTTAATTTTAAGAATTACATAGCAGATAACAATATCATTCTTGTAATAGAACTTGGATCTTATTCAATATGTAGGTATAATATATTACTGACCGGTTGACGATCAGGCTTGGCAGTGGCATGATTTCCATTCATCACGCACTTTCTGTACGATATTTTTTTTTCTTTCATCCAAAGATGCTGCAAGTAATGTTAAACTCATATATTAATATTACTCATATACTATTACTCATATACATGTGAAATTAGACTTCATATTGCTAAAAATATACAGTATCTCCAGGTAAGATTTAATTCAATGCATGCATAGTAACCATACCCATCTGTTGGCCAAAAGAAAATTACGTATAATGTATCAAATAACATTACTAATAATGATTTAAATCGATAAAATTGCTACTATATTCTATATAGTTGATCCTTCTTTCATAGTACTTTTTTAATCTTTGTTATTTCAAACTTCATCTAAATGTTGCACGTCAATAACATACTCGTAAATCATATTCCTGCGCATTTTCTGCCATTATTCCNTAGTACCAAACAAGTTACAATTATAATTTTTATACTGTATATAGAAATAAGTCAGCCACATGTTTTGTTTATTTATTGAATTAGAACCTAGAATGTAATTAAAAACAAACAAATGGATAATTAATTTTAACATGTTGATCGCAATTCGTAATTTCCTTAATTAACCCAATTTGGTAATTTGGCGTACGGTCTAAATGGACCACTCAAATTTTGCAAATATTTCTGTTGATTCGTCTCTACTTACGATATTTTTAATTTTAAGAATTACATAGCAGATAACAATATCATTCTTGTAATAGAACTTGGATCTTATTCAATATGTAGGTATAATATATTACTGACCGGTTGACGATCAGGCTTGGCAGTGGCATGATTTCCATTCATCACGCACTTTCTGTACGATATTTTTTTTTCTTTCATCCAAAGATGCTGCAAGTAATGTTAAACTCATATATTAATATTACTCATATACTATTACTCATATACATGTGAAATTAGACTTCATATTGCTAAAAATATACAGTATCTCCAGGTAAGATTTAATTCAATGCATGCATAGTAACCATACCCATCTGTTGGCCAAAAGAAAATTACGTATAATGTATCAAATAACATTACTAATAATGATTTAAATCGATAAAATTGCTACTATATTCTATATAGTTGATCCTTCTTTCATAGTACTTTTTTAATCTTTGTTATTTCAAACTTCATCTAAATGTTGCACGTCAATAACATACTCGTAAATCATATTCCTGCGCATTTTCTGCCATTATTCCATTCTTCGATTTATCAACTAATGATCAATGATGAGTCTTATTATCTCACCGGTAACCGCCTAGGCGAATTATCGCACATTTAGTACTGTATTTTTTATTTTTTTTTCCAAATCACGTGTAAGATGAAACTTTCGTCATGAGAAATCGATCACCTGAAATGCGCAGTATGATATCGGGAAAATTCTTGCCGAGATTTTTTTCATGTACAGTAAGACGTCATTGGTTTATGTCCGCAGAAAATGAATAATTAATCCATCGACCTTTTTTCAGAAAGTTTTGGGAATTATTAATATTATTAATAAAAATGATTTACGTAGCCAAAGGCAATCGTGGTAGCCCTCTGGACATGCGAAAACTAAAAACAAACATTGGAGAGTAATTAATTACATCCAAAAAAAATGAAAGGGAACATTAGTGATATATTCATAAATAGTTGGAATAAACATTGTTAATTATTAAAAAATGTATCATTTTATTAAATTATTTTATTAAATTATACTGAAGGTTGAATTAAAATACTATAAATATATAACTGATAATATTAAAAAATACAATAAATGAATAGGCTAGTAGTATGATATATATTATGATATATTGATTTTTCTTCCTTTTACCGGTGGCTTAGTCATATTCCCATTAGAAGGATCCATGGAACCTAAATGGTTACCCTTATTATCATAAACTTCAATATCATTATGAGTAAAATCCCATTCAAAATATTTTTTATTTTTTCCTGTTCCGCTAGTTTTAGTTTTACCACGAAAAGAATCAAAACTTTTCCATACTGAACTTGAACTAGGCCCATTAATAAGTGGAACTTTAAGTATTGGACCTAATTTAGGCAATTTTATTTTTGGAAATCGTCTTAAAAGTGCGTCATTTTCCGTAGGAGCCCTACCATCTATGCATCGACCAAATCCAGTTGGACAAGCTTCTTGATCATAATTTAGAGGAACGGCGAAGGTTATGGTGGTAAAAACAAGTATTAAGATAAGAACCTTTTCGATAAAATTATTCATCTTTAATTTCAGTTATTAAGAAGTAAATTTTATAAGAATAAAATTATACAACTTTTGAGAATTAGAACGTAAAAAACGCAAATAAAAGTATACAACTTTTGAGAATTAGATTTATTAAAAAACACAAATGAAATTATACAACTTTTGAGAATTAGAACAACGTGTATTTATTAAAAAACGCAAGATTGATGAACAGTTTCAAAAACTGCGAATAAAAATTATTGTCCGATTATTTTAGCCTTTAAAAGTAATAAAATCAATCTTGTGCAAAATTTGATATTTTAAATTTGAAACGCTGTCAAAAATTCAGGGTAACCCTGGATACATAGAATTTGCCGATCTAAATTTTCTAACTATAGATCAACTGCAGATGCGCTAAGAAAAAATCTTTAATTACGTAATTCCTTATTAGGATAGAGCGTTTTCCATATCTATCTTTAAGCATAATTTTTCATGAATGAGTTTCTAAATAAATGTCTCGGTGCGAAAAATAAAAGATTTATGCATTTCGTCAAATTTTTTAAGTATTAGATACGAATATTATTTATAGTGACAGTTTTAATCTTAATAGTTCGGCACTCTGTCCTATATGCAATGAAGATCATAAAGAAAAATCTATATGACTATATGGAATAATGATATAAACGGTGAATGAGGTTCTGTTGAATATTATAGAGAACAAACTTATTGTTTCAAATATACATGTGACCCTAAACTATTTTCTAAAAAAAGTAGTTTCGGAAATAATTTCGGTTTCAAAAATTTTTAATATAAAAAATATAAAATAATTATATTATTTAAGCCCCGGCAGTGATGAGTTTTGGACACAATTTTTAACTTTAAGGTTTTGAACAAGGTTTTGGACATAACAGATAAGCAAAAACCCTTGTCCAAAATTGTCCAATTGCCCAATTGCCTAACACTGAATTTAAAGGGATAGATCGGCACTCAATCGGAAAAATGATCGCCAAGTTATAATTAATTTTACGGGCTTTATAATTCAGTAAGGGATAGATCGGCACTCAATCGGAGAAAGTGATCGGCAAGTACGGGCTTTATAATTAATAAAAATTTTTTTTTTAGAATCTCTCGTTCCTCACTAACAAACTTTCCCAATAAACAAAAAAAAACAGCATACAGTACAATAACTTTTTTGACCAAGGGAGATATTTTACTAAACTCATATTATAGCATATATGCGTGACAAAATATAAGAAAATACAAGAATGTAAACTCTAAAAAAACAAAATAAAGTCTTAAAAAACTAAATAAAAACCAAATGTAACTTAGTTTGGGTCAAAATCGTTTGTATAATACTCAAATTTTTGGAAATTTATGGCCGGAATTTGGCGTTCCTCCATGATAGTAAAGTCAGTAACATGAAACTTTGGCGACTTTAAACTTTGGCTAGGATTGACACTATTCATTGCTGTATTCAGCATTTTTATTATTAATCACGTGTAGGATACAATAATCCAACAAAAATGGCATTTTTACCGATGATCGGCATTGTTAAATTTCAATGTATTTAATTTTGGAATTCAAATATAATTTCGGATTTTATAAAAACAGTTCCGGAATAAATTCGGTTTCAAAAATTTTTAATATAAAAAATAATTATATTATTTAATGTATTTTGGCTTGAAGAATTCAAATAACTTCAAATATAATTTCGGGTACTATTAAAATTAATTTCGGATTTTATAAAAACAGTTTCGGTTTCCGGAGTTTCGGGAGTTTCGAGCCATTAAGAGAGGAATGTTTCTGTTTTATTCATCTTGCATATTCTCATATAATGTGAGCTTTTATATTTAACGATTTATATCATTCCTATATTTTGTAAAACAAAATTTATAAAGTTTATTATTTTAGAAAGAAATCTTGATGTTGTTAAGATTGAATCATCATATGAGTTGTTTCATTCCGTTTTTACAAATTATTATATACAAAATTTCTTAATAAAAATAAAGTTGAATCTTCCACAATAGAAAAAAAATCGCTAATGTTCCTTACTAAATAAAACACTTTATGATGATGGTATATACCATATAATTCCCGAATATTCCGATGAATAATCACTCTCAACATATATTAAGTAATTTAAAACAATGGTACCAAATATATAGGTTATGGGTCTAAATCGCGACGGGTCAAAATCCCGAATGGGTCAAAATCCCGACAGTTGGCTCGCGTTATGCAGAGTTATGCAGAATTATGCAGATTCACGTGATATTTTTGACCAGCATTAGAATTCGAGATTTTGACCCGTCGCGATTTTGACCGGATCCCAATATATATATATATAAATAACATGTGCTATCTACTGAAACTTTTACTGAAAGTTCGTCCCATTCTTGTACGATAATCGATTAACATTACTATTTTACGAGTTCTTCTTGACTGAACAATTGATCTGAGGACTAGTAGTTATAAGATTTAATGGTACTAAATTGTAATTACGACTAACATACAAATTTATGAATGTGTATATAAAAAGAATTATTCATTCATAGTAAAATTAACTAGTAGATTCATGATTTTTTAACATTAGGAGGTTAAATCACATGATTATTGTGTAGATTCTGTAATCTGTATGTAAATATACAATTTTTATGTAATCTATACTTAAAATTATAAATTTGCGTAAATATATGATCAACATAAAAATATAGTTTAAAATAAATAAATTATAAATTTTGCATCCAAAAAAGTAGTTTCAGTAATATCTACACTTTATGCTATTATGTTGGTCATAAAGTCCCAAAGTAAAGTTTTTTGACATGTAGATCCATCAGATTATTCTTAAAAGGAATAACTCCTTAAAAATCTTGTCCTTAAATAAAGAATTAAGAGATCTTCAAAAAGGGGAGTTATTTAAAATCATGCGGATTATCAAAAAATTTTTTTTATAGAAAGAAATTAGCTAACTGGTTTAACGAAAATGGACTGAAGATATTTGTTTTTCAACTTCATTATTCTTTCACTTGGTTCATTGCTTGTTCTTATGTAGTTTTAAATCGAAATTTATTACAAATTTCAAAGTTCTCTTTGGGAAATTTTCTTGAACTTTGACAACTGAATTGCTTATAGTACTGTAAGTTTTAATAGTTTTGGTTTATTTTTGGTTTATTTTTTTTCATACTAATTAGAGCTCAGGTTAAACTTCGGGGGATGACTTATGCCTTTTCATTTTTTGTTTTCAGTTACTGGACTTATTAGTTTGAACATTTCAAAGCGGTAATTTACATAATTATGAAGTTTTGTTTATTTTTTAACGTAAGAATGTGCTAACATTCTTTTTTTTTTATAGGTTTCACCTTTGGGTCATGGATATGAAAGCGAGTATGTAGTATAGTATTTTTTTGATTTTTTAGTTAAGAACTTTGCTAAGAACAGTTACTAACGTTCTTTAACTTTTCGACTTTAGGGCCAACAAATTGAGTATGTATTAGAGAAATATGTGAGTTTTTTTTTATTTTGTTTAAAAAAGTTCACTAATGTTCCCTAAATTTTTTTATATTGGAAGAGAGGTGGTATGTATACAAGAGTGTGAAGATTTTTTTTCTTAGCTAAGAACGTTATACTAATGTTTTTTTTTTCTTTACTACCAAAGTGGATCTCTTAGATTTTGAATTAAGATGTTATTTCGAAGGATATGAAAAGTTACTGCTGAGGTTTTTTTTAGGAGATTACATACAGGTGGGCTTCTATTTGATATTTTTTTTATTTTATTCTTCTTTTTCTTTTATAAAATTTCCTTCTTTTTTTTTGACTAATGGGATATGATATATTCAAAGTTTATTTCAACATTAAACTTTAACAGCAAATGTAATTAATACATGAAAGACAAATCATATGGTAATGGTTGGATATTTTATAAATACATTATTTTTTGTACTTTTATAATCAAACTAGCAATGAAGGTTTTTTTAATTGTGAATAATTCAGTTATTAGTAAATAACATTTTACCTTTCTAGTAATTACTATACAAATTTTTTTATTGATTACATAAAATAAATAATAAATATTTTTTTAACCATGTCTGATTTTATATACAAATCATAGAAATAATAACATAATATATATAAATTAAGATTAGATAATAAATGTAATTTCACTTTAACTCAATAAATAAAAAAATAATTTACATAAAATTTAAATTTTAATTTAATTAATTAAAAATATATAAAATAAACTCATAAAAGCACCTTTTTACAAACAAAACTCTGCAACTATAAATAACACATTTATTAAAAATTTTTAATTAATTGAAGAGTATGCTAACTTGACTCCTGATTCTTTCTTAGTTATATATTAAAGATTTACACATATATTATTCATTTTGAAAAAATTAGATTAAATAGATTTGTTTTAACTGGTAAACATGTGATTTACCATTTAAAATATTTTGGTGCATTATTTATATAAGTCACTGTATTACTTAATTTATATAAAATATAAATGAAATTTTACAATTCTAGTATTTACTTATTTATTATCAATTGGATTCAAAATATTTCTCCAAAATTTTATATTTAATCTTAACTGAATTGGCAATTAATAATATTTAAAATAAATGGAAATATTATAATATATTTTAATTATTTTGATAATTTTTAATTGGTTTAATAGTTTTAATTTTAATTTTTTCTAATAATCAATTTAAAATCCGATTTGCTTATAATTGACAGAAAATTACTATATAAATCTAGAGGAAATTTTATTTCAAAAAATAAACTAAATAGGCAAAATTTTGCCAATCAAAATTATCACATATCATGTTATGATATGATAAAACTTAAAAATGCTAAGAAAAAATATTGAGAAAAAAATTTTCACATAGTAACTCATAATAAATGCTAAAATCTAATACCTACTGTATCTTAAATATTTATTATTTAGTAAAAATTGGTTCATTTATGAAAATTACTTAAATATTATTGTCAAAGTGATGATTTTTTGACTAAAAATAAGCATAACTAATGTACAAATAGAAAAG